GGTCTAAACCCTCGTGGTCTAAACCCTCCTGGTCTAGCTGCACCTGATGTTTAGCTGGTCTAAACCCTGCTGGTTTAATCCCTCCTGGTCTAAACCCACCTGGTTTACAGCTGGTCTAAACCCTCCTGGTCTAAACCCTCCTGGTTTCTAGCTAGACCAAATCCTCCAGGATTCCAGCTGGTCTAAACCCTCCTGGTCTAAACCAACCTGGTTCCCAGCTGGTCTAAATCCTCCTGGTTCCCAGCTGGTCTGAACCCTCCTGGTCTGAACCCACCTGGTTTCTAGCTGGTCTGAACCAACCTGGTTTCCAGCTGGTCTAAACCCTCCTGGTCTAAACCCACCTGGTCTAAACCCTCCTGGTTTCCAGCTGGTCTAAACCCAGCTGGTCTAAACCCTCCTGGTTTCTAGCTGGTGTAAACCCTCCTGGTTTCTAGCTGGTGTAAACCCTCCTGGTTTAAACCCACCTGGTTTCTAGCTGGACTAAACCCTCCTGGATTCCAGCTGGTCTAAACCCACCTGGTTTCTAGCTGGTCTAAACCCTCGTGGTCTAAACCCTCCTGGTCTAAACCCACCTGGTTTCTAGCTGGTCTAAACCCTCCTGGTTTCCAGCCTCCACCTGAGCACCTGTTGGAAGCCATCTCTGACCTCAGGTCAGCTGTCCGGTTCAGCCGGCTGTAAATAGCCGCCAGAGGCTGGAACTGGGTGATCCTGCTGTGTGTCCTGTGTTTTCTGCGTTACGTAACAGAAATGTTTATCAGAGGCAGAGCGGCTCCCTGCTGACACCCACATGGATCAATTACCTGCTTCCACTGATCAATCATCCTGTTTACAATGAGCTCCGTCGCCATGGAGACCCCCCCATCCCCGTCAGTGATGACTTCAATATTATATGTACACACACACACACACACATTCACACATTTATGTGTACGTGTGTGTGTTATAGGAATAAAGTCAAATCTAATCTAATGATAATAAAATAAGCCTTTTATGTGGGAAATACCAGCTGGTGTCTAACTGAAGCTAAAGCAGAAAAAGGCTAGCCTACAGCTAACACAAGCTTATAAAGAAATACTAACAGCAACAAACAGCTAATGGCTAACAGCAGACACACAGCTAACCCTTAGCAGCAGCTGTCAGCTAAGTGGGGCTAGCAGCTAACAGCATCAAACAGCTAAAAGAATAAGAAATATAACTAACCATTACCAGCAGCAAACCGCTAGTAGCTAACAGCAGCAATCAAATGACATCAGCTTACACAACTAACAGCTAACAGAGACATCCAGGTTACCATAAACAGCAGCTTACAGTTGCTCACTCTTTACCTTAAACAACAGTCTCTTATTTAATCAGAAATCCATTACACAGATCTGCAAAAATAGCTGTTTTTAGCCTGCCCGATAATATTAGCTCACATTAACAGCTTCCAGACGAACATGAAGGAGCTAATGACAGATGCTAGTTCTGGGTATATTTTAGCATCATTTGATCCAGTTTGGGAACAAATCTGGCTTTTGATCTGAGCTGTCGAGCACCGGATAAAATGGTGTGAGGATGACAATCCAGAACTTAAATGATAAATAAAGTTAATGGGGAAATTATCCGAGCTCGGACTAAAGTTGCTTTAAACATATTTCCAGCTGGACGGCCACCGTCTCATCCTAAACCAACAACCACTTAATTGTAGTCCTTCCAGAGAGACGTGTACCACTTTCCTAGCTATTATGGCATCTTTTTTTGTCTTGAAGCACTCATAACATAATATTCTTCAGTTCTAATCCATTTATAGAGGATTTCTTGATAAATACAAAGTCGGATCCATTATTTATTCCTGTATGTTTCCACTAAAAACGCACAAATATACTTCTTTTTTTGGTCAGTCTTGTGCTTTTGATAGAAGCTGGTTGAAGTCCTGACCTTGTGCTGTTTAATGGGGGGTCAGAGGGGCGGGGGCCCCCGGCTGGCTGCGCCCCTGTTTACGCCCCTGTGAGGCAGGTACAGAAGAGGATGCCGATTTAAAACAACTCCTTCTCGTTTTAACTCTCTCCTCCCCCCGAAATCCACGTCAAAAGATTTTCAACGGAGTTTCCCACTTTCTCACGTCCTGGCTTGTCGAGAAAACAGGATTTCTGAAGAAGTTTTCTGACAGACGCGCATCTGTTGTCGTTTCACGCGAGAAGTCGGATCCCGGCGGCCACTTACTTTGTACTTCATCCTGCCACGCGACCGGGAAAAGTGTCAAATATCTCCTTTGGGGCAACGGAGAGCAGAGGTGAAGTCTCCCGGTCGGGTTAAAGATCCATCCGGGGCGGAAAACACGGAGGGGCGCGCGGAGATCCGGCTGTAACCCGCGCGGCCGCTTTCTGCTCCGCTACTCAGAGGACTGCCGCTCTGCGTGCGACGCCCCGCCCCCTGCCACACAGGCCGTCTCTGATTGGTCGGAACGCGACCCCGGGCCCCGCCCCGCTGCCACACAGGCCGTCTGTGATTGGCCCACACGCCGCCCAGGGCCCCGCCCCGCCCTCTCGGTCTTAAACTTGACGTCACTGCCAGCTCGGAGGAAATTAAACAAAGTAGATCAAAGTTTTTGTGATTTAAAATAAACGTTGAGGGGATTTTTTTACAGCAAAACCATTTTTATGATGCTGACATATTCTTCTTTTTTTTAAAGTACGTCAATGAACGTTAAATGATAATAAAAAGCTCTTTGTTAATGTATAAATTCATTATTACAAAGTCATCCATTGTAAAGTTTCAGTAAATCCAGTAAAGTTTAATCAACACTCTTTTTGAAAAGCTGAAAAACTACTAAATATATATTTGTATTGTACGTTGTGTATGATTTTGCTTTAATAGTAGAAAACAAAAAATACTTTTGTAACAAATAAATTAAATATAAAATTAATAGTATTGGAAAATGATTGAATAATATAATGTATTCATCAAACAAGTCTTTTTAGCAGAGATTAAACTATTTAAGGAAACAACCCAGATGAACTCAAATGTTTAAGAAACCGTTTAACAAGCGGATCCCACCTGACAGAACAATGACATTCAGTGAATTTTGAAGTTTAATTGTTAATCTAAAGAGCTAAATGCCTAATTTATCTTATGATAACCCTTAAACTTTATCTCTTTGCTCCTGATAACAGCTTCCATTCTTCTTCTGCTGGTTTTTCTCTCTCCAGGAACAGACCTCAGGGGGGGATGAAGCCGAGGCCACTTCAGTCTCTCTGTTTCTGCAATCTAACAGATCAGGAAGTAACACGACTGCACAGGAAGTGCGATTATGCAGCGTCTTTCCGTCTCGGAGGCCTGCGGCCTCAGGCAGCTCTCAGGCACCTGCTGCCGCTCGGCTGCTGGTCTGATCGGCCAGTAAAGGCAGCCAGGATCTGTGGCTCACAGAGCCTCACAGCTGGAAAAGGCGGCTGTGGGACGCCTTTTGCGTCTGCTGGCTGTGCATAAACGTCCAATCAGCAGAAGGCGTCTCAGCTCGAGCCACCAGAGAAAAACGCCACAAACTGGCCCCCAGAAATATGAATAGTTTTACATCAAACCGCAAAGGCTCTAAGGCCATATATCAGCTTTAAAGAAGAAAAGAAGTGATGAGAAAAGAGGAGTTTGGAGCTCACCCTCAGCGGAAAGCAGCTGAACCGTCGCCTCTGAGGTCCCACAGTGTCTGGAGGAGGTGAGAGGTGACACCCAATGTGATGGCTGAGAGAGGCGTCCACCCCCGCCACACACACACACACACACACACACCCGGCTCACAGCCAGGAAGGCCTGCTGGGTCCAGATCAGATCAGGGGCTGAATCTTATTCAGATCAGGGGCTGAATCCACACCAGATCAGAATCCAGATCAAATCAGATCAGATCAAGATCCACATCAAATCAGAATCCAGATCAGATCAGATCAGGGGCTGTATCCAGATCAGATCAGAATCCAGATCAGAGAAGAGGCTGAATCCAGATCAGATCAG